AGATTGTTGATTAACTTTCACTATTCATTTTGAGGTTATACATTTAATCTGCACTTAAATGACCAATATTGTCTATTTAAATATGAGGTATGCAACCCTGTGTTTGTACCAAACCACCAAGATTGATTGGTAAGTTGTTAAATCAATCCCACCAAAAAACAATCAGCTGTTCAGCACAAAATGTAAACAAACAAGCAAATGCAACAACAATTTCAAGGAAAAAGCCACAGTGCTGGCAATTGTTTAGCATATTTAAATAAAGTTGATCTGAAACCCAATGAAAGCTAAATGGAATTTAAACAGCAATCCACAATCAAACTTAAATGCCGTTTAAATATTCATTTGAAATTGGCCCTTAAGAATGAGGCTTAATTTATGCATAAATTATATTTAAATCATGAGTCGTATCAAGGCGGCTTTATACAAGGTGGAATTTTGTTCTATTTTTTAGTTATTTCAATTAAAATTATTATATAATATTATTATATGATATTTGAGATCTTCTCGGTTTTCTTCAACCAAAAGCAAAAATGATGAAATTAAAGACAACAACGAAATTTCAACTGGAAATAAATGTAAGGCGAAGAAATCAGCTGATCTAACAATACAGTATCAGCCAAAATTACGTATTTGTTGTAATTATTACTGGCAATGTGTGTAAAATAGGTTAGTATAATTCTTGTTTTTGTACTCCTGCTATCACCTTATTTGTGTGAATTCGCCTTGGGATAAATAGAATTCTTATATTAAACAACCTCAATAAATTATTAAAGTAATAACTTATAAATAAATCACAGCATCGAATAAAACTCGATTCGAATCTAATGAAATAATGAAATGACAGCCCTTTTCTCTTGAATATACATCGCGGTGTCAATTCAATCTTATATGGTTACTTTTTTGCACAAGTACTTTTGACATAATAAGTGCATCACTAGAGCTTACAAAAGAACTCATGAAAAAGAACTCGTTTATTATCTGCAAGTTCGTAGCTGAAATATCGCGTGAGCAAATTTAAATTCGTCGTACATTGTGTNACTAACTTTAACAACAAATAACTTAAAAACTATAAGTCTGCTGCGGCTAAAAGTATATATATTTACAATCAGGAGAACTCCCTCTATCGTTCCATACCCTTCTTAATGCCAAACTCCGGGGATGCCAAACTAAATTGCAGCCGTGTAATTTGTTGTATTTTTTACAAAGTTAACTAGAGGATTTAGTACTGCTGGTGTTGTTTAAGATAAAGTAGGTATTAGTAGTGAAGTGATTTATGAATGTACATATATAAACTGTGTAAATATTGCACAGGCCTGTGGCGCTTTCAGTGAGTTGAGGTTAGGTTGTGTGTGCCACCAAAAATTAAGAAAGCCGGAATGTTTTAACGTCATGGCGAGGCATTTCAGTTAAATACCTTAGAATATGTGTTATTCTGCTTATTCCAAAAATTGCAACTCTTTGTTGTACAAAAGACCTAACTCCACAAAGTCACTGAAAGGGCCAATATGAAAAACATTTGGAAAGTGTAATGTGCAGTGGTTTTTATTACTTAAAAGTTTAATGAAGGGTGGAATAAGTAATTTATATAAAGTCTGCTAAATGTTGCATTGGTTTGTTGCGCTTTGTAAAGCAGCAATCACACGATTTGTAAATATGTACATACATCCAAGGCGAAATTTTCTATGAACTACTTAAAGGTATATCAAAAACGAGTTAAAATTTTGGTGCGTATTTTGAATTCAAATTCTAATCTGGACTCCCATTTATTAAATCAAAGATTGTGGATTTACAACGGAAAGCCTTTTGCATTTGGAACCAAGTCATTTGGACACACTAATTGACAAATCCTTGTTTGGCCCGCGAGTCATATTCGAGCATAATCTATTAAAATGGCGAATGTCGCGTTAATAATTTTGACGAGGTAAACTGAAAAGAAAAACAGCGAAATTTTTCATCTTTTTAAACATGTAGAATTTTTCAAATCTTCCAATTCTAGAAATCTATTCAAGATATTCTAAGTGAAACAGCTAGTGGAAAACAAATTTTAAAGTACTATGCAGATAATAAAATATTAACACCAAAATATCGTAAATTACTCGCTGCTACTGTTGCAAATTATTTGATTGGTGCTAATATTAATGCTCATCCAAGTACTTTTGATTTATTATCGCGTAAAATTGCAAATTTTTTTACAAAAGAAGCACAGGTAAAGCAACCTCTTGATTCGTTTTCAACACTTCAAATCTCATAACGATCCACAACTTTGCCTCAGGAAATTTACTATCTTCCTAAAAAAGGGAAGAAACCAGGTGGATCACTATATTCGAAATATCACAGCACTTTGTCTAAATTGAGGCAGGATGGGATTGTTTTAAAGAGCAATAGAGAAACTGCCTGAAACGAAGGAAGTAAATAGTTTTTCTCCTGGTTAGTTATAATAACAATTAAGTAAACTGCCTATTTTTTGACATTTAGTAATATTGGTATTTAGTAAACACCCCATTTTGTTTTTCTAACGAGAATGAATAATTCAGGTTGCAACGAGATAAGCGATAAAGCTTGGCTTAAATATAACATTGAACCCTACAGCGAAGTAATAGAGAAATGGGAGACCACGTTTGCAGTCAGACATAGCTTTTTGAGTAACGCTGAGGACTTGAGTTCGATTCTGGAAGAGTGGCCTCTTTATAAACAAAGCTTTGGATACTCACTAGTAATTTTTTAAACCTTACTTTTATACATATATCTTCTGAAATGTTTTTTTGAGATTGAACTCGACTTTCAAAAGCTCTTCCCAGAACGACGTAATTTGTTATTTGAGAAGTGGATTAATTTTTGTCAAGCAATACCATCTTTGTTTGATACACACATCAAGGATACAAATAGTTTATTTACTTGGAAGCGAAATATAGTTTATTTACTTATTTCACAAGCGGTTATTATTTTATTTTTTGTAATGTAAATCAATATCCAAATAAGTTAACAAAATTTACTTTTGCAGATGTAAGGGATTGCGTGATACTCTCAAATGTGTTGATGCTTGTTTCAAGGTATTTCATGTCTCAAATTTAAAGTATCCTTTTGAGTGTAATTTAGTCTGGTTATTAATACAAAAATATTTTTATAATATCGATTTGAAGTCAAGTGAAAAGAGTGCATCCCTTTGCGGAATTTTAAATGACTTACAGGAATACTTTATCGGGAAATATATCTTAAAAAATTTGAGCCTAAAAAGATGATATCCTTAAAATAGATAAGATGGGTTTAAAATTTTTTGTTTGTTCACAGATTTTCACACAATGTGAAATTCTTTTTAATCATATAAAAAATGTCCATACTTTATCAACAAATGAATTGTTTATATGTGGATTTTGTAACTGTAGTCAAACTTTCACATCTTTCAAAGCATTTTGTAAACACATGCGAAGGGAAAGTAAGAGATATTGTACAACAACCAATTCATTTAATTTAAATTATTCAAATGAAATCTTAAATACTGACACAACTATTGTTCCTGCTCAACAAATTTGTGAAAATATAAGTAGCGGTCACAGTAACACTTCTTATTTGTCAGCAGATAGTATGAAAGAAGGTTGTTTGAAGTTTTCTTTAAATAATTATTCCAAAAAGAAAATTCCGAGAAAAGAAACAATTGAATTGCAAAAAGAAGTCACAAACTTTATTATTTATCCAATAAGGAACGAAATAACAAATATTTTGAATAATTTTGACGCACAAAATCCGTCAGATGTAAAAAACTGTCTAAAAAAATTGGTTTCATATTGTAGCGATCCATTTATAGAAATAAATTCTGAATACAAACTTATCAAAACTCTAGAAGAAATGGATCTATACGAGACTCCTAAAATTATTCAAATTGACAATTCAATTCGCTGTTTGCAAATTAAACATGTTAGTAAGCTGGATGCTACTGTAGTAAAAGGTGGGGCTTGTTCGAGTTGCAATCACAACAGCTGTGTTGCACGATTTCTTAAAGTATCACGTTCGATGTGAAATTGTGGCAACATTGGCAAAAGCATCGCGTTCTAACTGTAAAAAATTCGGAAATTGTTGCGCGCAAAGTCAAGTAAATCGGCATCACAAATTTTTTGTTTGCACGATTGCTATGGAAGACGAAAGGTGAGCAAAATAGTTTATATTAAAATGTATTATTTTTAATTTATCATATACATATACATTATCTAACAATATTTGTGTTTATTGTATATTTCAGTGAAAACCTGAGCAGCACTTTAAATAAATTGCTAATACGGTGTCGGCTAGATATGGAGCCGGAATTCGTTGCAGGAAAAAAGAAAAAATCGGTCCTCTGGGGCAAAGTCCTGGTGAAAATGAAAGAGGTGAACCCTGAAATCACGCAGTCGAAAGAAGTGATCCAAAGAAAGTTTTTGAACTTGCTGGCGTCATATAAAAGGATCAAAAAGCGGAACAACTCAACTGGGAGGGATGCCACAACATGGGATTTTTATGATGACTTCGATAATGTGTATGGCAGGCGACACTCCATTCAACCTCCAGAGCAAAATCTGCAGTCCTCTCTTCCAGGATTGAGTGAAATAAATGTTAATGAAAATGAGAGTGATTCGGATGGAAGAGACTTTGAAACGAGTGTTGCAAGCACGCCAAGAAAACGCAGTAAGCCTTCAGCAAATGAAACACTTGTATTCTTCAAGGAAGAAGCTGCCAATGAACAAAAGCGCCATGAGGAAGTATTGAAGTTGGAAAAAGAAAAATTGGAAATTGAAAAGGAGAAAATTAAAGCCATGGAGGAGTTGAGAAAAGTGTTAGAGATGAGGACGCGGAACTGAGTCATATAACAAAACTTTATTTTTTTTTAATTTATCTGAATTGAATGTGACTTTATTTAATAACATAAACGGAGAAATTAATTTTGTTTAAAAAAAGTTTATCTGAAATGAATATGATTTTATTTAATAATTTATGTAGTGCAAATATGTATATGCATACAAATGTAGACATTAAAAATAAAAATGAGTTCAATGTAACAAAAGGAAAATGTGTGCATGTACATATGTAAATAAAAACCATTATGAAACAAATAACATCTTTAAATTATTTCTTTTTTCAACGCCTTCATTAGTGTCATTGATGTTTTCCGGTAATTCGATTTCTGGATTATTTCCATCTTCTAAATTTACAAACGTATTCTCAACTTCGAAATTTGTTGTACTATTTCGTATTATAAAATTATGTAAAATTGAACAAGCTAACACGACTTTTGAAATATCTTTTTGAGATTTCACATCTATGTGATTTAAAATCTTAAACTTCTGCCTTAAAATTCCAAAGGCTTGCTCAATAAAAACGCGAGTAGAACTTAAATAGTAATTAAACTGCTTCTCTTCTCTTGACAAATGTCCATTATCTCTGTATGGAACCATTATGTATTTGGAAAGAGGATATGCTGAGTCTGCTAAAATTACAGCATCTTTAGCTAGATGAATCTGTCCAGAAGCTATTCCTTTGTAAAGTGGGCTATTTTTCCACACGTTAGCGTCGTGGCAGCTGCCCGGAAAGCCGATAAAAACATCCAAAAAACGAAAGGCGCTGTCGCATATGGCCTAGAAATATGATACCAACTTATATAATTTTTTTTTTAAGAAATATTTTGGAAACGCATACCTGCATAATTATTGAATAGCTTCCTTTTCGATCATAATAGCTTATGGCATCTGTCCTCGGGGTGTTTATGTGGAAATGGGTTCCATCCAGGCACCCTACTACAAATGGAAAGGAGTTCACCCGGCTTTCTTGGAAATCTTCGATGATCTTGGTCTGCTGAGAAGCAGATGGCCAAGAAATCTCGTTTTTAAGCTTACATATAGCTTCAACGGTTTTAAAAAAGACTTTGTGGGCTGTTCCTTTTCCAATACCAAATCTGTCAGAAAGTTCACGATAGGTGACCCTACTATTGCCCAGTTTCCATAATGTTATGTGCAAGCTTTGCTCCAATGAGTACTCACCGGGAACATTTGAAAAAAATGGTTCGAGTTCAGTCTTCAATTTCTATAAATATACCTATTACAATTTTTTATTTCAAAATCAAAGTCACACAACTTACACTAAATGTTTCACGGGACATCCGAAAATGTGTAAAATAAATGTCATTTGGATACAATTTAATCGTTTTAAAAAAGTGAACCGTTTTCGTCACATTTCTCCTCCGACACAATTCCTGTCTCATCCAATTTCTTTTCTTTATGCGCTTCATTCTTTTTTTTGCCATTATCATAAGAAAATTACCGTCCGTTTCGAAATTATCCAGCAAAATATTTATAGAAAACTCCATTATTTTTAATTTGCGTATTAATTTTTGTCAATCTATGCAAAACAAGCGCTGAACATCAGAAAAGTATCAGCTGAGCAGTTGCACCAGGGTTGCAAACGACAATCAGAGCAGCAGTATTGCCGCTTTTATTACGTGCCTCGAACAAGCCCGTGTACTATTCCCTATCAAATTTCAAATCAGGAAATTCTTTGAAATACCAGGTGTGTATGAAAGTTTTGCTGAAAATATGACGACCTTATCAGTTGATAACTCAACTCTAAAAAACTTCATTAATGGCAAATTATGGCAAAAAAAAATAAAATTATCCCGGAAAATTTGTAATTCCTTATTTACTCTATTTCGACGATTTCGAAGTGAACAACCCTTTGGGTTCGCACTGTTCATCTCATTTGGCAACTTATTACTCATTTCCTACAGCTCCAGTTACTATTAAGCATAAACTATTTACTGTATTCATTGCAGCTCTATTCAAATCGAAAGATGTTAAAACTTTCGGTAATGCTAAAGCGTTTTTTAAATTGATAGAAGTCCTCAACGACTTAGAAGAGAATGGTATAGATAAAAAAAATTCAAGTGGAATTAAACGAATCTTTCTTTGCTTGGGCTTTATAATCGGAGATAACTTAGCATTAAATAATATTCTCGGCTTTTCTGGATCTTTTTCCTCAAACTATTTTTGCAGATTTTGTAAAGTTAATAAAATAGAAGCTAAATCAGCGTTTATGGAAGAGTTTGAGAAATTGCGAAATAAAGTAAATTATGATGAAGACATTTCACGGAATGATTTTGGAAACACAGGGATTAAAGAAGATTCAATTTTTAATAAAATACATAGTTTCCATGTTACAGAAAATTATTCTGTTGATATATTACATGATATCTTCGAGGGCGTATTGAATATAGTTTTTGTAACATCATCCTGCAATATATCAATAAGAAAACTTTTGCTTTGGAACTTTTAAATCTTCGGAAACAAAATTTTAACTATGGCGAAACTGAAAATGGGAATAAATCATCTCCTCTGCAGTTGCATCACATTAAATCATTTCATTTAAAATTATCTGGACGAGAAATGTTAACTTTTGCTCATTTTTTTACTCTGATTATTGCAGACGTAGTAGAAAGAGATGATGTTTTGTGGAAATTTGTTTTAAATCTTATAGAGCTATTAGACTTGTTGCTATTATCTGAATATACGAGCTTAGATATAATAAATTTAAAATCTCATATATCCGCTCATAACAGCGAATATGGGAAGCTTTTTCACGATACTCTAAAACCGAAACATCATCTTCCTATCCATTACTGTAGAGTTCTTGAACATTCTGGTCCCTTAAAATTGCTGTGGACGCTACCTTTTGAATCTAAGCATAGACAATTGAAAGAATATGCTAAAAACATTACATCAAGAAAAAACTTAACGTTGTCTTTAGCACTAAAGTTTTCAATAATATTTTCCGAAACTATTACCAATTTTGAAAACACCGATTGCTTACTTGGCAAAACAAAAAGCTTCTTACAATCTTCTTTGTATTGGATACAATTAAAAACTATTTTTAGTGAGGATCAACTGAGCGAGTGTATATGTTATTTGAGTTTAAAACGGCATAATACATTTGATAAAAGCAATTTTATTATTTTTTTTTATGATCCTAATTTTTCCGCTTTTCAAATACTTGAGATTTTCGTAATGAATGAAAAAATTTTCTTATTTTGCGAAAAAATGAATATACTAACGTATAATCCACATTTTTTGTAATACGAAGTCGGCTCCAGAACCTCTGATTTTAAACTCTTCAACATAAATGAATTACAATATCCACCAATTCATCTCTATACAGTTCAAAATCAATCATTTTTGAGACCAAAACACTTCTTTTAATGCACATATTTATTCGTAAAGCCCCTTTATATAATTATTACTTATTTCTTTTGTACTTTCCGTAATAAAAACAAATATATACATCCATAAATGGGAAACTAACCGAATGTTTTATTTTTAATGCAGAAAATACTTCACATTTTGAGGAATATTTTCCTTAAAAGGCACGAAAATTTAACTCATTTTTAAGAAACCTCTCCCACGAGAATAAGAAATGCTTCTTATTTTCAAGTAAAACATTATTCATTTGACGGTAAGAACTTGTACAAATTGAGGAAAGATATTTCCATATTATATGTAAAAACGTTCTCTTTCTTATGATAATTTTCCTAAAAATAAGGAAAACGAGTTTCCTTATTTTTAAGAAAATTCTTATGCTTAATTGAAGAAACCATTTCTATGGCGAAAAATTACTCCCATTTTTTTCATTTTGATAGCTTTTTTCCTCTGTTTTAGGAAATTTTTTTTTGGGTGTATGGACTGAAAACAAACGTTGTGTGTATTTTTGCAAAGCCACAAAAATTTAATGAAATGTTTATTTTTTTATTTTTTACTCAAATCAAAAAACTTCATAATTTCTCTCTCAAAAGGGTTAATATGAAAGTCAAATGAAGGAAAACATTATGATAATAAATTGCCAAATAAGTGACCGAAATATAATGTCATTGCTAGCTGGCACACTTTATATTATTTTATTATGCTTATAAAGATTTAACAATTGTCGAACAGAAAAAACTGGGATTTGTAACTGTTTAAATCAGTTAATACATTTCACTGCGAGTTATTACTTAAACACTAATCGAAGTTACGATTGTTTCATTTTCTTGTTGTATATTTTTAATTGAAAGAAAATGCTGATATTTTCATTCGATGCATCAAAAATATCGATGTTTTTATACGATACATCGATATGTATCGATGCTATATTTCGATGCATCAAATCGAAGAAAACATCGATGTATTTTTTTGACTTGCATCCCTACTCCGGAAGTGATCACTTACCGCAGAACTCCACAGGCAAACAACGATTGCGTGCCAGATAATTGCGAGCAATATGGTTGCAAGTTTTTGCGTGTGGACACTTTGATGTCTTGACCATGGGCGTAGGCAGGTAGGGGCAGGGGGGTGCTCGAGCTCCCCCCCTAACTTTCAAATTTTCCTTATATATATATAAAATAGTACCCTGAAATGCCAGCTTAATAGGGTCCACACACAATCATGAACTACCACCAATTGATTTTATTAAAAATATTTAAATTACGAATATGTGAAAACAGGATGCGAAAAACTAAACACCTGCGCACAGCTGGAATACGGTAAATATTTGAAGAGTGTAGAAATGACCCATAACTTGCAAAACATGTTTCGTTTCCACAAAAATAAAGCGAACACTATTAAATTGATGAAACAGTCCATGTGCAAAAACCCCGAAAGAACACTGAAAGAATTCTGTAATTTAGATTAGCATATTTTGAATGAATTCGGAATGTCTAAGGTGGAAAAGAAACCAACCTTTCTATAACCCTTTCAGACCCTAATGCATCAATTGTGCGGGTTGGTATAAATTGTCGTATTTTCGTTGATATTTAGCGTACGCAGGTGAGGCCCACATGAATCAATTGTGCGTTTCATTCGCTTTATTGTTTGTTTACATTGTTCTGGCCGTTAAAGTGCCGCTAGCTCGCAAATCGCATCGTGGCGATAGTGACTTCGTCATTTGTGAAAATGAGCCGCTCAAGTAAGTTGTAAAATTTATTAAAAATTAATTAGTGGTGTTATAAAAGTGAATTATGCATTAATTAGTTAACCTAATATTAAATTTTATTATTATACATAGAGTTTTTAATTTATTAATGAAAAAAGTGAAGTTTGGAGCATATTTTAGTGAAGTGCATCAATTGTGCGCATTGGGTCTTGTTTCATTGAAAATTTATAATTTTTTTTTAGAAACATTGACAGAAGAAGACATTCTTAACGCGTTACTAGATTCCGATTTGGAAGATTTTAGTGGTGACGACGAAGTGCTGGACAAAAATTACTTGCCATGTGAAAGCACTGACAGCGAAAACTCCGAACCAGATGATGAACACCAAAAGCAATTCTCGGAAATCGGTAAAAATGCAACTGACGAAGAAGGAATCAGACCAGTAAGTCTAGTTCAGCTCTTGTAAAATAAAAAATTAATATTCATCCTAACAAAAAATTTACAGACTTCTTCCCGTCGACTTATATGGAAACGGAAACCGTTTTCTCCCCGAGCAGAAGAAACAGCTATCCCAACAGAATGTGTAAGATGAATTTATAGTAAATTTAACTTTTAAAACATTAAAATTTTACAGGACGGTATGGTTAAAACTCCACTACAGTATTTTACGAGATATTTTGATGACAACTTTTTTGAAAATGCTGCTGGTTGTACAAATAGGTACACTGTCTTAAAAACTGGAGAGAGTTTGCATACTAGTTCTGGAGAAATAAAAAATTTCTTTGGAATGCATATTGCAATGGGATGTGTGCGTTTTCCCAGAATTCGTATGTACTGGCAGCAAAAATTTAGCATTCCAAT